TCTCTCTCTCTCTCTCTCTCTCTCTCTCTCTCTCTCTCTCTCTCTCTCTCTCTCTCTCTCTCTCTCTCTCTCCCTCTCCCCTCTCCCCTCTCCCCTCTCCCCTCTTTTTTAATTGAGGTTATTTGGGGAGGGAGGGTGGCGCTTCCAGGCACATGCTAATTTGCATAGCCGCAGAGATTTTACAAATGCAGTGCTTCTGTATCTGAGTGCGTGACGTCTGGCTGGTAAGCTACGCTGAATGTGGGGCCGCGAATCTTCGGCCAGCACCGTTGCATTGTCAGATTCGTAAATGCAAATTCGTATCGTCAGATAAACTAATTTTTAGAGATACTTTTCATTTTATGTGAGGTCATCTGCACAGACAATTGAGTGTAATTCTTTAACATTATAGACGAATTTAAATGAGATTGAAGAGGAAAGAGGTTTGTTCCCTTTACTTCACAAGGGTTCATTGAAGGTCTACAGTATGTTAGATGCTGTGGGAATACCCAGAGATTTCTCTCCCAGGGAGGCCCCTGTGTTCTATTATACCCAAGTTATCAATTAAGCCGTTTAGGACATATTGCTAAATTAATGAACATATGGAATACAGTCTTTGGATGAGCAGGACCTGACCAGGCAGATGAGGAAGAGTGGAGCAGTTTAGACAGAGAACTGCTTAGACACAGTGCTCTAAAACAGATTGTGATATTCAGGAAACGGCTATTCGCTGTGACTAAAATGTAGGGGACTTGGTGAAGGGAGGATGGGAGAGAATGAGAAAATAAGGTAGATTGGAGCCCAATTATGACTCGATTTTAAACTTCATATAGTAGGCAGTGGGGGCGCTAATAAATTTTTAAGCTGAAAAATTATTTGACCAGATTTGTAATTTTTAAGATAACTGGTGGGAGCTTGGAGGATGGATTGGAGAAGGGAGAAAGTGGACACAAAACTGTTGTAAAACTCTTAAAGCAGGTACAGCAAGAATTTTGAGGACCTTTGGTAAGGCAGCAGCTGGCAGGTTGGATTTGGAGAAAGGTTTCAAAGGCATCTATGCATCTATAGTTATCATACCTCCGGTACCCAGTTTCTGATATGGTTTCGACGTAAATAATGTATTTCTCACTATTCTCTTGGTTTTTCAAATTGTGTGGGAAATGTTGCTTTTACTTTTCAAGAAAGGAGATCCTACTGTTGCAAAAGATTATGGTAGCTTGAGGGATGTAATGTGTCTCTCCTCCGTGTAGGTCCTAGTATAATTAGATTTTAAATATCTATTGAATTTGAAGTATTAAGAAGTATTTTTTGGCAGACGTTTAAGGATTGTAGGACAACATTTATATTTATGAATAAATATGTTCACATAATAAGTGAATAGATTAGACCCATTAACTATTAACAGATGAATCATTTCTTACAGTTAAAATCAGGATGAATGTGCATAACAAATGCTTGCTTTGTTTCTTGTAACTGATTTCTTTAGTACAGAACTTGCTAAGGCCATCAAACCTATCGATAGGAAGTCAGTCCATCAAATTTGTTCTGGGCAAGTGGTATTAAGTCTAAGCACTGCTGTGAAGGAGTTGGTAGAAAATAGTGTGGATGCCGGTGCCACTAATATCGGTAAGTTTGGGCGAGCTTTAGGCCACATGAAATATTGTTTATGCTATTTTATTCAGGAAATATTTGTTACTGTAATAAGACAATCAGGTGTTCATATATCAATAAATTATTTTTTTTTTAACTTAAAGCTAGCACCTATTATGTACCTAGTACTTACAGTTAAAGTTTATTGTGTTCTGTCTTTGTGCCAGGCAGGCATTGTGCTAAGAATTATATATTGAATATCTCATTTAATTTGCAGAATAAATTTAGGAGAAAGGAATTATTATTATCTCTATTTTACAGGTAAGGAAATTAAGTCACAGGAATTTAGTTTTTTTGAGGTTATAAAGCTAGTAAAATATGATCCACGAAGTCTGATTCCAGAGCCTCTCTTTTTAATGACTATGTTAAAATTATTCCTTTCCAAAGAAAGAAAAAAACAAAACTATTTAGTCTGAGCTAGTAAATAGCCAAAAAGGACTTTAAAAAAACAAAATAAACAAAGTGACAGTAGTATGTTTAAATAAAAGTGCAGTTATGATTGTTAAATTTGCATTATGTGTTATAAATAATGTCAATATAACATCTTTTAGCATGGATCAATCTTTGAGAAATATTTGAAATTTTTAGATCTTAGGCTTAAAGACTATGGGGTGGATCTCATTGAAGTTTCAGACAATGGATGCGGGGTAGAAGAAGAAAACTTTGAAGGATTAAGTAAGTTGAATTTTTCTAATCCCATTATAAAATCATTGGGCCAAATGTCTCAGAATTTTGAGTAACACTGTCTTATGAAACATGAAAACAGTTTTTTAAAACCTGTTACTTTGGTAGGTACTGTGTATACTCATTGCTGTATCACTTGAGATATCTCGTGCTTACTTTAACTCTCTTTCAGCTCTGAAACATCACACTTCAAAGATTCAAGAGTTTGCAGACCTAACTCAGGTTGAAACTTTTGGCTTTCGGGGAGAAGCTCTGAGCTCACTTTGTGCGTTGAGGTGATGATGCAGTGTTTTTATCTATTAACTTGACCCCTTTCAAAAAACTCTCTGAAAATTGAAAAATACGATTAGAATCATTATTGTGTACATTTTTCTATCTGAATATTTCAACTTCTAACCTCTGAAGTCTGGTTTATCTTACTGCCAAGTCAAGTGATAATACTTCTGAAATATGAGAAGTAAATGAATGAAATGAAGCATATGGTATTGTAAAAAAATTGTTACCCTTATTAAAGCAGCAATTTCTCAGTTTAAAAATAACATATAGACAATAAATTATAGGTACCATCAGTTTTAATTTATTTTCAATTTTTAGGAAAAAATTTAACCAAATCACATACTTAATTATAGAGCAGATTCCAAATTTTTATAATTACTTATATATTTGAATTATAATATCTTTTGGATCCTTTTAAACATTTTTGTTACAATAGTAGTAACAAAACTGCGAAATAAATCTTCATTTGTGAATAAGTAAATTTTGAGATCCTTTGTTTTGCAGTTCAACCTGAAAAACTAAATCAAAGCTTTTATCAAATCAAAGCATTTACAGAACTCTGTCTCACTATCTTTTAGGTGTCACACCTTAGATTTTATGATGACTCCTTACCCATTTAAACCCTCTTCATTATCTCAAAGGGATCATCGTCTTTTTAAGAGTTTTGAGAGAAAGGAAAGTGAGAAAAAGAGTATTTGGTATCCAACACTTGTGAGTCCCTAACTGCGCGTGCTGTGCCTGGCATTCTCTTGCAGTGATGTAACTATTTCTACCTGCCACACATCTGCAAAGGTTGGGACTCGACTGGTGTTTGATCACAATGGGAAAATTGTGCAGAAAACCCCCTACCCACGACCCAGAGGGACAACAGTCAGTGTGCAGCAGTTATTTTATACACTACCTGTGCGCCATAAGGAATTTCAAAGGAATATCAAAAAGGTACAATAATTTCACAACCCCAATTTCCAGGCATATGGATATTGTAATGTACATAATGTGCACATGAGTAAAAGATGTGCTAAAGATGTTTACTCTTAAGTTGATTCTCTTCCCTTAATTTTTTGAGAACAGCTTTGTTTGCTTCTTGTCTTCAGAGACTTAATTTTAGGATGATTTACCCTTTTCTTGAAAAGAATCATCAAATAGTGTTTACCAAGTATTCTAATATGAGAAATGGGTCCTTTAAGAAATAACATGGGGCCGGCCCGGTGGCGCACTGCTACAGTGCGCCGCTTGAGAGCGCAGTGGCGCTCCCGCCAAGGGTTCGGATCCCACATACAGACCGGCCGCTCACTGGCTGAGCGAGGTGCGGGTGCGACACCGAGGGTTGCGATCCCGTTGCCGGTCCCGGTCCGTACAGACCGGCCGCTCACTGGCTGAGCGAGGTGCGGGTGCGACACCGAGGGTTGCGATCCCGTTGCCGGTCCCGGTCCGTACAGACCGGCCGCTCACTGGCTGAGCGAGGTGCGGGTGCGACACCGAGGGTTGCGATCCCGTTGCCGGTCCCGGTCCGTACAGACCGGCCGCTCACTGGCTGAGCGAGGTGCGGGTGCGACACCGAGGGTTGCGATCCCGTTGCCGGTCCCGGTCCGTACAGACCGGCCGCTCACTGGCTGAGCGAGGTGCGGGTGCGACACCGAGGGTTGCGATCCCGTTGCCGGACCCGGTCCGGTACGGGCGCGACACTGAGGGTTGCGATCCGTTGCTGGTCACGAAAAAAGACAAAAAGGAAAAAAAAAAAAAAGAAATAACATTATCTTTTGATTCTGTCTTTATTTTTTAATAAGATTCTTTTTCTTGGTTCCCTGAAAAATGAATTATTACAGCCTTTATGAATTTGAATACAAATGAAACACTAAATGTTGTATAATTGTTGTGCTTAAAAAGTAGATTAGTCTGTATGATATGATCACAGTTTTGTAAAAACAAGTAGCCTAAATATACATAGGAAAAAGGCTGGAAGAGTAGACACGTGGATGTTATTAGTGGTTATACTTGGATGTGAGACCTTATGTGCTTTTTACTATCTTTTGCTTTACTTTTTTGTACATATTTTTTTTTTTTGTCTTTTGTCTTTTTTCCGTGTCCGGCAACGGATCGCAACCCTCAG